GTGAAAAACTTTTATAATCTGAATATTTCTAATGTCGAAATCAAAACGAAATTTACTAAATAGCATTTTTAAAAAACAATCATCTAATATTTTTCAAGTTTTTGGGCATATATTTTACCATTTGAACCACAAATACTACTAAGTTGTATAAGACTATTTAATGCAACTCAGGTCAAAAAAGAGCAGTTTAGACCAAAATAAGCAGCTCTAAAAAACAGATGATCGCAGCTGTGGCCCAGGATGACGTCTATTGCTAAGATATCTCACTTGTATTTGTACACAATGGGTATAAAAGAATTAGGTAAATTATCAGGGACGGTAATCATGATGAGTAAAATAATTTAAGTCAGCGTTTAATCAATATTTTATGATATTAATTTTTTTCGCTTAAAAATAAAATAATTATTGAGTTTATTTTTTCGCTCAACGAAAATAATTATTAGTTGATTTTTATTTTTTTCGCTCAGGTATAACAATTATTATAGAGTTTTATTTTTCTAGTTAAAACTGATTATTAAATTAAATCATTATTTCTGATGGAAAAAAAATCGAACAATAATTTAGAAACTCTTCGTTTATGTACCCTACACACGCAATATCTATCGCAAATATCTTAAGGTAACTTGAATTTTAAAAAATCTTTTATGCTTGCGGAATACGTTATGAAAAAAATAAACAACAACAACAAATAATTCTTTATCACTTTTTGGCTACTACGTAATACATACCTACAAAGTTAGTTGACCTCGACGAATGATTAATAAGTTAACCAAGGCTTTGATAAATTGCTACAACAAAGACATAAACAGCAAATACACATGTTTACTATGCTTCTATAATTAACTTTTCCATAGTTCTTACAACCGGTTTCGATGTCTGTATTTATTTCCTAAACTTATTACAAAAAACTTTTGGCCAAATTGCTATGGTAAAACTGGTTGTAATCCTAAACGCATTAATACAAAGCATCCATGTCTTTAATTAATAAACCAGAGAAGTTGAAGATTTCCAATTCGCGCAACCTTGCATGGTTGCGCATGCTGGGACTTACAAGCTAGGGTAGTTTAAAAATAAAACACGGATGCTCTGAAGAAAAGACAAATATATCCAAATAAGGGAACGTTTTAAATTAGTGAAAATTTCTTACATGTAAGCCCGCAAGAGTAACCACAAAAAGTTTAAAGTTGATATTAAGAAACGTGACTTACCCATCTGGTCGTAAAATGTATGTATGTAGACCCGAAGCTCGAAGTACATATCCCGTTCAATTATCTACTACCCATCTGTTAAGTGACTCCTGCGTTTTATTGCAAAAAAAAAGCATTTTTAGGGCAAATTTGATTTATTTGAAGCTATTTCAAAGGGAACTTAAATCTAAATATGTACGAAAATGTATAGAAATGAAATTTATTTAAAGTTGTTTACAATGATTAAATAACAATGCAAGCCATCTCGCATTTTAAGCGCATTCTGTATGGCCTATTTATAAATAAATACTAAGTATAAATTGCTGTTTGAAAAATATAAATCATAAGCAAACACATTCCTGCTTTCAAGGTAAGAATTCCTACATACATATTTAAGTTTATCTTTTATTGCATACATGTATATATTTAGCAGCAATAACAGGTATGCTATGATGACACAGCATAAAAATACATAGCTAATGCACTTTTGTTTTTCTCTGCCTTTCTTTAATTTAACAACAAAACATTTTTATGTATTTCTTTACTTTCAGGAAAACCACTTTGAAAAACATTACAGGTATGTATGCGTGTGTGTGGTATCAGCAATTTTACTGCAACAGTTTTTCGCCTGCAAGTGCTACTAATTTATATTGTTTTTTTTTATTAATATCTTCCATTCGCTGCCACTCAAGGCGAAACAACTGGTGCCATTTTATTTTCCCTTATCAACGTACAATCAATCCAAATCATCGCTATTAACTCCTGTGTATACTGGTTCTTCAGCCGTTTTATCCAACTTGCCACCACCAGCATCACTCTTAAATTTACCATTATCTGCATTTTCGACGTCGGCTTCGACATCCTTTTCTTCTGTGGCACCATTTTCGGCATCTGCTGCATTTGGCACCCACAGACCGGAGTCGACACAACGCTTCATATGATATTTGGCTTCCTCGACTGGCAATTCGGCAATGGCTTTTTGCAACAGCTCTATGTCGCGCGATTCAAAGCATTTTTGCAGGCTCTATTTCAAAATAATAATACATTTCAGTTACATATGTATGTATATTCATTAGCAATTTTATAAGTCACCTACCTCTGGCAGCGTCTCAAACACCTCGGCTGGATCCAGTCCACCAGGTCCGAGTCGCGCCTTCCTCTCTTCTTCCTCTGCNGGGCAATTCGGCAATGGCTTTTTGCAACAGCTCTATGTCGCGCGATTCAAAGCATTTTTGCAGGCTCTATTTCAAAATAATAATAAATTTCAGTTACATATGTATATTCCATTAGCAATTTCATAAGTCACCTACCTCTGGCAGCGTCTCAAACACCTCGGCAGGATCCAGTCCACCAGGTCCGAGTCGCGCCTTCCTCTCTTCTTCCTCTGCTTCCTGAATCTTCTCCTGCGCTCGTTTCCTTATGCGGCCCTTGAAACCTTCAATTTCATTTTCGAACTGTTCTCTGTACTCGGGGACGCAGTTTTGTATTTTCGAGAAGAACGAACTANAACTAATGCTTCCTGAATCTTCTCCTGCGCTCGTTTCCTTATGCGGCCCTTGAAACCTTCAATTTCATTTTCGAACTGTTCTCTGTACTCGGGGACGCAGTTTTGGATTTTCGAGAAGAACGAACTAACACAGGCACGAGGGTCAATTTCCAATTGCTTTGCCAGTTCTAATATGTATTGCATACAGATGCACTGATGCGCAACATGTGCCATTAGGTCGTGTTTTTCTTCCATTTCCAAATTAATGGACCAAATGACCAAGTAATTTGCGGTTTCCTCACATACAAGATCCAAATGTTGTTGAAGGAAGCGTTTGGAATCGTCGTATTTACGTAGCATACCATACTGTTTGCATAACTTTTCATTTTCTTTAACAAATTTCTTCATTCGTGCTTCTTTTTCTTCTTCTGTGAGATTCTCGTCTGATTTTCGCACAGCTTGTTTATTTAAGACAGTTTTTTCGAAGCCAGGTTTGCTGATTGTATCCACATTCCAAGGAGCTTTTTTCTCCTTTTGGATAAGCTCCTCTTCTAGCCGGTCGAGTTCTTTGCCTTCCTTTTGAATTTTCTCCAACTCTTTCTGCATGGTAATATCATTTAAACAAATTTTAAAGAAAAAAACCTTAATTTTTTTACCTTAAGCTCCGTCTCATCACCTTTTTTCTTTTGTATGCGTTCTTTTACATCCATCAAACGCGCCTGGCAAGACTGCTTTTTCTTCTTGAATTCCTCCTTTTCACGCTCCATCTCGGCCATGCGTTCGACGCGAGCCTGATGACGCCAACGGAACAGCGAAGGAGTGTCGATGTTGGGATGTGTGTCATCCTCGTCATCTGAAATCTAGCCAAGATGTGCAACATTTTCTACAAATCCGTAAGCGCTGGACGCCTATAAAAGGTTTTTCTTAACTTACTTCAATATTCTTCCATTTGCTGTAGTCTACCATTGTTTGTTCGCCCTTGCTCTGTTATTTAAATATATCAGTTTTTGAGCTTGTACGTGGAATTTTTCACGAAAATTTCTAGTTTTCTTTCCCTTCCAATAAACCGCTGGTTTTTTGCTAGAATTTTCTTCTGACGTTTTAAGCTAAAATTTTGAAAGTGGGTTGAAAACAGAAGAACCGATGACGTTTGAAATAAGTGGATTTTGGATACAAAAATACAGGGCCATGATACAGGGCTACATAAAGGTACAGGGTGAATTGGATGCAGGGTGCACTTGATGATTTATTTTTTGGTCATTCCGTCACTCGAACAATTCGTTTGATAATGCGTTTCCGGAAGTTTTTTTTGCAGTTTATAACTTTCCAGATTAATTGGAAGCTTTTTCCATCTGAAACTCACTGAATTAGCATGCAACTGTAAAATTATGATTTAGATAGAGGGGCTCGCCAAATGCTTTTAGATAAAGGTTTTGGATTTATGTATATTTTTTCCTCTTTTGGTAAGAAAATTACTACACTAACAAGGCAAAGATAGTTGAAAGAAAGTTTGAAAGATTTTGTTTATTCTAGATTTAAGTTAATAATAAATAAAGACAGCAATTTCAAGATGAAAGCTCTTTTGACAGAAAGCAATGACCGAGTGCCTTTCGAGTGATCCGAAGTCAGAGTCTCCGGGCAGCGGATTTTTTTAAATATTGTGTTTTTTAATTTAAATTTTGATGTAATTGTTTTAAAAAAAGAAAACAAAAATAAATAATTTTTTAATTAATTTTTTTATAGTTTATTTTTTTTAATTTAAAGTTTCTTTAATTTCTGGATTTTGTGGTTTTATAAAGAAAAATATTTTTTTTTTTAATTTAATGTTTCTTTAATTTTTGGTTTTATAAAGAAAAATATATTTTTATTATTTTTCTTTACCTTTTTA